TGGCCTGGGCCACCGTCTCCTTGGACTTCAGAAACTCCTGCAGCACCTCGGCCGCCTGGGGGCACCGGGGAGAAAGGGGGTGAGCCGGGGCCCTCAGCCCCTCCCGCTTGCCTCCCTCAGATCGAGGGGCCCACAGCCCCTCCTGCCTGCCCCCCCCACACCAGCCCCCCCAATCGAGGGGCCCACACTGCCTCGACCTGCCCCCCCACAGCCCCTCCCTCCTACATCTACCCCCTCCCCCACACAGACACCAGGGGACCCCAGACCAGCCAGAGCCTCCACACTGCCCTTGCATCCCATCAGCCAAATATGAGCCCGGACCACAAACTGACTGAGGGATCCAGCGATGCCATCGATACTTCTCCCCGTTAGGGCGCCCGCGGGCTGCGTGTGCAGCTCAGAGCCACGGCCAGAGACAGAACCCAGGAGTCCTGGTTCCCAGCCCCCTGCTCTCACCACCAGACCCCACTGCCCTCCCAGAGCCAGGAGAGAACCCAGGAGTCCTGGCTCCCAGCCCCAGTTGATGCTATTCAATCAATTCACCATGATCCCTTTCCCTGGCACCCGCTGGTATTTCTCCACCATCTCCCGCTGGTCGGCCAGGAAGCGCTGGTAGCCCCCGGGCACCGAGTAGCTCCCCTCGCGGACCCGCTCCTCCAGCTCCTGCGACAGCTCCCTCAGCGCGGCCGTGCACCGGTCCGACGACGCCTGCTCGTTCCGGCGGCAGAGCTCAGTGCGCTTGGAGTCCAGCTTGTCCTGCGGAGAGAGGGGACATCGGAGCCGGTGCCCGCTGGAGGGGAAAGGCCTCGTGCCCCATTCCCTGCCCCAGAGAGCCAGACAGTTCCCTGCCCTGGGGCCAGCACGCCCTGGAGGCCCCATGCCCCATTCCCAACTCCACAGAGCCAGCCAGTCCCCCCCTACGCCCCGGGGCCAGATCAGGGCCAGCGCTCCCTAGAGGGAAAAGACCTTGGGTCCCATTCCCTGGCACATGGAGCCAGCCAGTCCCCACCCTGGGGCAAGAGCAGGACTAGCGCCCCCTGGAGCGGAAATGCCCCGTGCCCTGTTCCCCTGTGGGTCACTGCAGGCTGGGGCAGGATGGGCTGTGCCCCCATCGCAGGGTCCCTGGTACCTTCAGGTGCCGCTGGTATTGCTGCTCGTCGTCCTTGAAGGCGCGCGCCATGAACGCCCGCAGCGCCTCCCGCTCGCACTGGGCGTGCACCTCCAGCAGCTCCTGCACGCTCTCCGTGGGCAGCGCCGCCCGCCGCTCCAGCTGCTCCTCGTAGACAGCCACGGCCTCCCCCACCGCCGCCGAGTTCTCGATCTGCGCCAGGGCCAGCACCGCGCTCTCCATGCAGGGCACCGCCCCGCTGCGGATGGCGTCCACGTAGGTCACCGCCAGGTTCCCCAGCACTGCCGGAGGGGCAGGGTCAGCACCAGGTTCCCCAGCGCGGCCGGAGGGGCAGGGGCAGGGTCAGCGCCAGGTTCCCCAGCGCGGCTGGAGGGGCAGGGTCAGCGCCAGGGGGCCCAGTGTAGGGGGCCGGGGCAGCATCCCCCACCCAGCCCCTCCCACACACTCCAAGACCCCGGCTGCTCCCCTGGACCTGCCCCTCCCCCATGTGCCCCAGGCCACAGATCCCAGCCAGAAATGCCCCCCTGTCCCCGTCCCCCTGAGCAATTGGTGCCTTGTCTCTCGTTGGTATGTCCCTGGCTTCACCCCCCAGCCGCAGGACCCTGCTCTGCCCTTTGGGACCCAGGCGTCCCTCCCTGGGGAGACGTGCCCGCCCTGCCAGCCTGGCCTCTCCCCATCATCTTCCCTGGGACCCGCTAACCGGAACTGCTCTGTCTGGCTCTCATGCCCTGTTCTCCCCCCACGGGTCATTTCCAGTCCTCTGCTCCACCCCTTGATGATTTTCCAGTGCCCCGTCTAACCGCGCACCCCAGAGCTGGGCGCAGGCTCCTGCGTCACTCCCACCAGTGGCAGCCACAGGGGACCCTCTCCCAGCTCGGTTTGTCCCGCCCAGCACCCCATGAGTCCCGTTGGCCCCAGTGTCCCCCGGCCCAAGGGCTACCAACACTCACTGGCCCCGGTCACCACGTGGCCGCCCAGGAGGGTCTTGGGCTTCGACGTCTCCCAGACGTGGCGGCAGAACTGGGCCACCTGCTCCTGGAACTCGGGCTCCAGCTCGTCCTCCCGCAGCTCCTCCAGCCGGGCCAGGTGCTTCCAACCGGCCGGCGGGACGAAGCCGAAGCATTTCCGGGCCGGGAAGAACTGGCGGATGCACTTTCGGGGCAAGTTGTAGTGCTGGTCTTGCTTGCTGCTGCCTGGCAAGAGCGGGGAGCCGGGCAGAGCCCTTAGCCAAGATGTGGCTGCTTCTGGGGGGCAGCGCAGTGACTGTTGAACAGATTCCCATGGGAGGAAGAGACCCTGCTATCCATGGAGGGGGTCAGGGGTGAGGTGGATTGAGGGGAGCCGGGGAACCATCCCAGCTGGAACGTGACCAGGACAGTGAAAGTCCCAATTCCCAGGAACTGGTAACACCCGTGAGGTGTCAACGGCTTGGGTTTGTGTCTTGAGCAAAAGTCACTCCCCGGCAGCACAGCCCTGGTGCCAGCCCTGACAGCCAGGGGAGAGCCCCCACCCCACCCCCTGCAGTAGAGCGCCCCTTAACACTGCCCTGGAGCACTGGGGCCAGCACCGCTCCCCTACCTGGCTTTAGTTTCAGGGCGTTCTCCAGGTACTCGTCCTCGGTGATCTCCTGCCCGTCCAGCACCAGCTGCAGCACGAAATCCCGCACGGCCCACACGAAGGCCGGGAAGAACCGCACGAACTCAGCCGAATCCTCCTCCTCCTGCCGCCCGCCCCTGCCCTCCGCCTTCACCTTGATGCCCTCTCGGCCGCCCTCAGCCACCGGCTTCACCTTAATGAGCTCCGTCAGCTCCGTCACGTAGCTGGGGGCCAGCTAAGGAGGAGGAGATGTGGCGCCCCCTGCAGTGGGGTCCCGCTTCCTCAGGGGCCCCGCTACCCACCTGCGATGGGGCTAGGAAGGGACTGCAGGTAGGGGAGGATATTCCATCACAACACCCGGAAGAAGGGATCAAACCCACCACCCCCAGGGTCCGGAGCAGCCACCTGGAGCCCTGCACGTGAAGGAGTGACTCTGACAGCTGGTGGCAGAAGTGGGTTGTTATTCCCCCACGTAGAGCGGCCACTAGAGGGGGCCGTGGTCCACACCCTGTGCTGAGGGTCACAATTTCACTGGGGGTGAAGCGTTCGGATGAAATTTCGGGTCCCTTCCCCAGGAAGATGGGCCCCACCCCAGTCCCCCAGGCAAGGATACTGCAGCTGCTCCATGGCCTGCTGGTTGATGGTGCCCCGGCTGTTATAGACCAGGGTGCTGCTGAGCAGCACGGCCAGCGCGAAGATCCACGTGTCGTTCTTCGTGTTGCCCTGGAACGACACCCACCGTCACTCTCCCGAGCGCGTCCCAGCCGCAGAGATGGCACAGATAGGGAAACTGAGGCACAGGGCAGGGTGGCCAGTGGAACAGCGCCCAGCTCTCCGGAGTCCCAGCCCAGGCCACAATGAATTCCCATTCTCCAACCAGGCAGAGTCACTATTTGGGGTTGGCATATTCCCCTCCCTCAACCTGTTAAATTCCCAGCTCCCGGAGGCACGGGAGGGGGCAGGAGCTCCCATTGCTCCCCTCTTACTGATGTAAGTTCCTAAGCCACATGGCTGCGTTTAAACCTTGGGAAGGCAACACCTCCCCATCCCCCGGGGTCCAGCTGCAGCGGCCCCCACTGCAGGCCGCGGGGTTTACAGCTGCTCTTGTGCATCTTTCAGGTTCCATCCTCTATTATCCCCAACTCCGGCTCTTCCCTCTGCCTACGGCAGGGCAAAGCCAACATATGGCCAAGGCTGCGGGATCCTTCTCAAAGGATCCATTTTATCGGCCGTCTCTGAGGCCCTCTCCAGAACGAATGTATTTATCGTCACACTCCCTCTGGCAGGCAGGGTGGGGAAACTGAGTCCCAGCTCACACCGGGGGTCTGTGGAGCAGGGATTTGAACCCAGCTCTCCGGAATGCCAGCCCTGCCCCCATCGCTACAGCGAGTAGGGAAATTGTCACTGGAGAACATCCCATTTTTGATACCAAAACCACTGACAAAACGGGGACAGTTAAGGTGAATTTCCTGACTTGAAAAATTATTGGGAAAAAAAGTTTCTGAATTGTGGAAACGGCCCGACTGGGTTTCTCAAGCCAAAACGACGTCTCGTTGTCAATGTTTTGTTAAATGTGGACAAAGAAAAGTGGAAAATCAAAATGAAACGTTTGAAAATTATCCATTTTTTTGCGTGACCCGGACCCAGGGCACGTTTCCGATTTTCTAGCCCTGGCACTTTCCCCCCATTTTGACTTTTCACCACAAACCAGGACAGGAAACATTTTAAACATCCCACCAGCACTTCCTGGGCGGGACAAGCATTTGCAGCCACACCCCGGCCTCCCTTCCCAGGCCTGCCATGGCACCCCCAGCCCTCCGGACATTGGCAATGCCCCCCTGAGAGGGCGCTGGGTCCGCCTCAGACAGTGCCTCCTTCTCCTGCAGGGGGTTTGCTAGGAGTGTCTGTTAGCAGAGGGACAGGGAGCTCCTTAAATACCACATCCCCTTTCCCAGCATGTCTTGCCCTGAACTACAAGTCCCAGCAGCCCCTGCGTGCCAAGGGGCGTTCCATCCCGCTCAGCAAATTGGCTGATTCTCATACACTGCCCCCTGCCGGCCCCCCCCCCGCACTCACCTTCTCCACATCGCCCAGCCCCTCGGTGTCCAGCAGCACCAGGGTGTGGCCGGCCCGGCTGGGGTGGGGCAGGCACCACATCCAGATGCCTTTGGTGTGCGACTGGATGGTGGAGCCCAGCGAGAACCCTGGGGAGAGAGGGGCGGAGCTGGGACAGACGCAGAGCCAGGGAACCCAGGAGTCCTGACCTCCCAACCACTAGACCCCACTCCCGTCCCAGAGCCAGGGAGAGAACCCAGGAGTCCTGGCTCCCAGACCCCCACTCTAACCACTAGGCCCCACTCCCCTCCCAGCGCCAGGGAGAGAACCCAGGAGTCCTGGCTCCCAGACCCCCACTCTAACCACTAGGCCCCACTCCCCTCCCAGCGCCAGGGAGAGAACCCAGGCGTCCTGGCTCCCAGACCCCCACTCTAACCACTAG